TAAAAGCTTTCGCTCTAACCTCTAGGAGCTATGTACAAGCAAGTGTAATCTGGCCACTTAAGTCTCTCAAGACTTCCCCTCTTGTTCAGCCTTCTTGCCTAGCTGGGTAGCATGGGTCCAACCAGGAAGCATAAGCCAGACAATAACTTATACAGGGAGATTTAATACTAAGAGCGTGTTAAATTACTGTGAAAATAGAGAAGAATCTAAATGGTGGTCTGCAACAGATGAGAAGTTCCCCAAAAGGATTAAACTTGCTTGTTGAAGAAACCTGAGATGGTCCACAGTCACTAGGGAAGGAGGGACAATCTCTGGGGTGTGGGACGCAAGTGCAGGGGACACACAGAGGGCATCATAGGGAACTGGGAACTGAACAGCCTCCCTCTGCAGAAGTTTGGCACTATGTGCTCGGGACAAAGATTAATTAAATGGCCAACTTACTAGGTGGCCAGCCCCATGGGACCCAGGGTGCACACATGTGGGGCTAAGGGTTCATGGGCTTGGGCTCAGGCCACACACTGGCTCAGGCTCCCAACCTCAAATCTCACCTCTGCCACTGCAGAGGAGAAGCAGAGCAGCCAAAAGCAAGATGAATGTTGTACCCTGCAGGCACTGAGGAGCACAGCAAAAGCAACAGAGACTCAAAGAACCTGGAACCACACACCAGTCATACACACACAAGACACTGCCTAGAAAGGAAAATCCCTTCTTCCTATGAGGAAAAATTTTCAATTTACAGAGGATGAAGGAAAAACAGATGAATTTGGAGCACAGAAGTAATAATGAAAACCAGCACAAGTTGCAGATCTCATCAACCCAAAGTCATCTCTAACCACAAGCATTGTTTTAAGTCTGGAGTTAACAGGGAAAGGGTATAAAATGTGAATGAACGCTGCCTGCCTTGCAAGCACAAGGACCTGAGCTTGATCCCTGTACCAAAAAAAAAAAAAGTGAAGGACTCCTGTACCCTAAATTGGCAGAGGCAATAAAATACATGACAGTCCTTTAGCTGACAGCAGAGGATACGACAGGATCAGATGGGGGCCTGCAACAATGCAGATTTCAGAAACATGGGGAGAAGCAGGGAGATTGTAGACAAATAAATAGGCTCTGAGTCCCGCTGGGAAAAGCGGCTAAAGCGGGGGGGGGGGGTCTCTCTCTACTAGCAAGATGAGCCCTACTGACAGCTCACCTGACACCTGCTGCTGCTAAATGTGTTTCTTTCACATCTGTTTGAAAAAGTAAACGCGACTCCACACAGAATTTTGAAATAAGAGGAATGAAGGATTCCAAAGTGTCCATGATGATCACAAACACAGTCATTCGCCTTTTGCGTTCATGGAGACTTAACTGGTATGAAGAAGATTCTGCCCAACACACCTCTGACAGCATGCAGGTCTGCCTATCACTAAAGAATAGCTAGAATTATGTCTGACTTTTCCTATAACAAAAAAAAAAAAAAAGATGAACAACCTCTTATGTATATATATGCCTTTTTTTCATCATGAGTATTTCCTATGGAAAAAAATTACAAAGGGAACATGATATTTTAAAATCTTCTTAGCACCTAATCAAAGTTTTCCACTCATACTGATTCTTGTTCCTCACCAGAAAGAAAGACTGGCCTGATTTACCATCTCCCTGTACACCCGAGAGCATGCAGTTATCCACACAGACAATGGATACTGACCTTAAATCTTTACTGAAAAAGAATGCTCCCCTGTTTTAATTTATGTCTTTCCATAGACTTTCTTACTGGTTTTTCCTATTCTAGGTATCCTTTGTCCATTTTTCTACATCAGGATGTTCTCATCTCATTTAATATTCACAATAAACTCAAAAGTCTGAAGCAGCTAGGCATGGCAGCACACAGCTGTAGTCTCAGCACTAGGAAAGCTGAAGTAGGAGAATCACTCCAAGTCTGAGGCCAGCCTGTACTACATAGTGAGTTCAAGGCCATCCTGAGCTACATAACAAGACCTTATCTCAAAAAACAAAAACAAAATAAAAAAAACCAAAGCAATTAGTTTGAGCCCGCAGAGCTTGCACTTTGGACCTGATTGGAGTCTTACTCTTACACTTTCTACCACCAACACTGTCACCAAAAGAGGATTTTGAGAATTCTCAAATAAAAGCGCACCACCCCCTTTTTGAGACAAGGTCTTGCTATGTAGTTCAAGCTGGCCTTGAACTCACTATGTATTCCAGGCTGGCCTCAAACTCCTGGTGATCCTCTTGCCTCAGCCTCCTGAGTGCTGGCATTGCACCACCACACTCGGTTTAAAACAGCACTTAAAAAAAATAACTTAAATCCCTCCACTGTGGATATTCAGGAAAATATGAAGTATTCCAAGGAAAGCCAGAAGGACTGAAAATTAGATGGAGAAAGCCAGGAGTGGTAGCATGTGCCTGTAATCCCATGACTGGGGGGGGGGGCTGAGACAGGTGAATCACGCACAGGGGAATCACCACAGGTTCCAGGACAGCCAGGGCTACATAGGAATTCAAAGCCTGCCTGGGGAGTGGAGGGGGGTGGGGAGAAAAATGTAGACAAAGTGTCTGGCTGGGAACCACTCCCTGGCTTGAGGTGTTCTGAGATCCTCCTGGTCTAGTAACACAGGCATCTTCTACAAAATCCCCTACAGATGTGTCTCATGATCCATGAATTAGTTCTGTAATCATAGTTATTTATTCATGCTAAAAAAGGAAAAATTTCCAGGGGCTTAAACTAGTCCAGTCACAAACATAGCCAGATAAAACCTTCTGTCAGAGCTGCTTATGCAAAGAGGAAATGGGCCTTCCACTTCCTCCAGTACTGCAGCCTGTGGGAAAGAACCCACCTTGGCCTTAGAACCTGACCCACTCTCCCCATCTGATGACGAAAAAACAGTGCTAGCCACAACACACACCAACTCACTTATTTTGCCAACATGTACACACATTCCATACTTGATCACATCCCAATTACCAGAAAAAGGCAACAAGTTTGTTTTCCAGAGCCTTACAGATCATATGTTCCTACCACCTCATCTACAGAAGAGGAGACCTCAGCCCCAGAGAAAAGAGCCTGTCCCTGAGGTCACCATAATGGGGAGAACAAGGACTGCTACTTCCCATTTGTAGAATTATGATTAGTGAGGATGTCTTTTTCCACAGTCTTCAATTCTAGGCCATCAACATAAAAAACAAAAAAGCCCCATTCCTCCCACCCCACCTCACTTCTGGGGCTTGAGCTTGTGTTTATTACTTCCTTCCCACTCTCACAACACCTCGCCCATATTTATCTGACTTATCACTGTGTGATAACACATCTGACACACCACAGGAGCCTGGCTGTATCTCCAGTGCAGACTGACACTCCACAGACAATAAAGATGTAAGGGGGGGTGCCCGATAAAGGAAGTAACATCTAACTAACTCTTTGATCTTCTTGGTCAAGAGTCCCAACAGGGGCTGGGGATTTAGCTCAGTGGCCAGGCCTGCCTCGCAAGTACAAAGTCCTGAGTTCAATCCCCAGTACCAAAAAAAGAAAGAAAGAAAAGTCTAACAATGCTCAAACCAATCACCCTTGGATAATCTGACACAGAAGGACTCCCACCAAGGACCCCTCTCAGGTTCCCGGCTACTTGTCAGTCTCAGCCATTCCTCTCTCTACCCTTCATTTTCCAGTTCCTGGGCTTTCCTCTCAACACCTCACTCACCATGACAGCATTATCTGGTACACCATCTCTCAGGAAACAGCCATACACAATTAAATAAATCTATAAACACGCATGAGCCCAAGGGATGGGGGAAGGGAGGAAGGCAATTAAAAATTAATAAAAATGCACAAGCATAAATTAGAGTACTGAACTAGAAACATAATCCTGTTATATAAACTAAGTTATCACTGACTCTGTGTAATTGCTTCTGGAAATAAGTAGGCCACGGGCCCAGGCTTGGCATCTTAGTGTACAGAGATGGGGGGGGTGATTTGGGGTCTCTTAGGTGGCTACTCACATCTATAGACACATACAATACAGAAATGCTGGTAAAATCAATCAAGGAAAGTACATTCAGATAGTTATTAGAAAATGATTATAGTAAAATGCATAAAAAATTCAATGACCAATTAACACCCCTTACACTCTTAAAATTACATCATTCACCACTTAAGTTTCATAGGCTGTGTGATAACTGACCACAAGCACAAACAGAATTTTGAATTTTAAAACAATCACGTTAATTGTGTGTGTGTGTGTGTGTGTGTGTGTGTGTGTGTGTGTGTGTGTGCGTGCATGCGCGCGCTGGGGATCGAACTCAGGATCTTGCATTTGTTTGGGAGGCAGGCAGTGGCACCACTGAGCTAAATCCAGGCCCAACAATCACTTTAAATGTTAAGCACCTGGGCAACCTAATTTAATCCACCAAGTTCTACGGCCTAATCATCTACGGTGCTTCCAACTCTACCAACAAACCCAACACAACCACTGTCTTTCCCAATTCTATTACACTGCATCTGGCAATTCTTGTCCTCCATGAAATACATTTTGAGAGTATTTCCATAATTTCCCCATAGAGCACATGTTTGCATTTATGTCCCTTCAAAAACATAAAATCATAGGACTGGGGATTTAGCTCAATGGCACAGCACCTGCCTGGCAAGCACAAGGTCCTGAGTTCAACCTCTGTACCCAGCCAAAATAAATAAATAAAATAAAAACATAACCTCTAAAAATCAGGAAAACAATGTGTGAACATACTGCAATTTGGGATTGCACACAGCACAGTAGTAGCTGCCTTTCACAACTTCATTAAGTATTTAAATTTATACCAGTGGCATTCTTTGTGTTTAAGTACCATAACTTAATAAACTGTCTTGGGAGGTCTCAGCTCCTTGGCAATTAAGGTTTGTCAGTGACACATTTTCTTAAAAGAGACAATGTCCTAGGCTACAGTGAAGGGGACACCAGAGAGCATGAGGAACCACACTGTCTCAGACCCAGCACTCCTCAACTTACCTGTTTGGAGTCTCATAGAAGAGCAGTCTTGATACGGCCACCTGATCATTCTTCCAAATATGGGCATAGAAATCACAGGACAGAGTGCAGCTCAGTGGTAGAGTGAGCTCAGTATACGTGAGGCTCTGGGCTCAGAGTGTGAGACACCACAAACATTTGGTATGTTTGTGCCGTCACAGGAAGATTGTCCTCTGGGAGCTGGATGGCCTCTGACCTGGAGCAGAGGCGCCTCCCAGCTCCCATCTCTCTATTCCTTTTGTGCCTCTATGCCCTTTCTCACAAGTTGGTTAAATTTTAACTAGTTACTTGGTGTGTGTTTGAGAAATGTCTCTAAGTTTTTAAAAATTAAAAAAAAATCATATGGATTTAAAATACATATCCCTCAGGCTGAGGCAGAAGGATCGGCACTAGTTCCAGGTCAGCCTGGGCTACAGAGTGAATTTAAAACCAGCCTTAACTACATTGGGAGACACTATCGCAAAAAAACACCCAAATACATACATACATACACACAAATCCTCAAAATAGAAGCATTTTTGCCTCTCCGTCCAAATGTCCTATAGAAGGATGGAGAAGCCACTTAATCCCTCACTCAAAGATGTATGGCTACGTATTTTAAAAAGAGGTGAAACAGGAACATAGCTTTCTCTGGCCACTTGCCAAGAAAAGTGTGTGTTGCCAAAACAAGAGATTGTGTTGTTTGCTGGATACACGAGCACACTGCTGAGCCACTTGGAAATCAGCCTCTTTTACCAAGCAACTTAAATCACCTCAGTTTTAAGCATGTCTGTGAATGTTTCTGTCACATACCATAGGCCATCTCAAATGTGGCACCACCACAAACACCCATTCTTTTCTGCTGGACCTCACGCATCCTCCCTGAGTGTTGAGCTCTGTTCCCAGCCTCTAGCACCTCTACAAGGATGGCTCCACCCCACTGGGTGCACCTTTATCTCCCTCTCCAGGGTGCAACCGCCACCTGGCCCAAAGTGGGGTGAGGGTGAAATAGGCTCCCTGAGGTTTCACTCCACCATTCTCTGTACTGTATACTCTCTTGAAAATTTCCATTATAAAGTGTTTTTTAAAAAATAGGATCCATCAGAACCTTGAGGAACAAAAATTCAAAAAAGAAACATTCAGTTAAAAATAGAGGGGTATTCATGAGAGATATTTTAAGTTCATTTGAGGGAAATAATTCCTTATGTGGTGAAGAAAAGCAAAATGGCTGATTTAAAGAATAGAAGCTAGAAAAGTTCCCTTGTAAACAAGCCTCAAATTCAGACATAATATAATAAATAAAGATATACCCCATCGGCTTCAAATGTCAAACACTGTTGTCCCTCAGTATCCATGAGGGACCAGTTTAGGAACCCTGCAGATACCAAAACTCTCAGAAGCTCAAGTTTTTTATACAGGATGGCATAGTACAACCTTTCAACATCCTCCAGTATATTTTAAGCCCTCTCCAGATTCCTTACAACACCTAATACAATGCAAATGCTACATAGGTAATTATCATGGTGTATTTTAAAACTTGCATTATTTTATTGTTATTTTTTTCTGAATATTTTCAATTGTCAGAATTCTCAGGTAAAGGAGGACTGACTATATTTTAGATGGACAGCATTTGTAATGAACCAACTTTTTCTTTTTTTTTTTTTTTTTAAGTCTTTTTGAGACAGGGCTTTGCTATGCAGTTCAGGCTTATTTTGTGGTCCAGGCTGACCTTGAACTTGCAGGACACTCCTGCCTCAGCCTCTAGTGTGCCAGGATTACAGGCATACGCCAAGACACCAGGCCTGTAATGAACCAACTTTGATCCTTTCAGTGTTAGGCAAATATATTTGACTTACCAACAGAACAATATAGGGCCAGACCTGAAGAGCTTAAAAACAAAGGTACAAATATATTATTCCCTGATCAGGACTCAATAAAGAAACATTTCAAAAAAGCATTTGGATCTTAAGTGCTTTTCAAAGAAAATGACACAAAAAAATTCTGATACACAAATTATAAGCTGTGGCAAGTTTATGATGGTTCATAGAAAATACACTCTTAGAGCATTAACACCTTCAGATTCACATAATAAACCTGTGAAGGTGACTGTGTGGGTTTTATCCCATTAAGGGGGGGTGTAGGTGGGCTAAATGAGTTGCCATGGCTACCAAGCTATTTGACATCAGCTCTGGAACCAAAACCTCCTGCAAGATCTCCACACATCAGGAGCAATCCCCCACCCCAGGGTCACGCCAACCCAATGACAGAACATGCTGCCCCTGTAGTAGTAACACCTCCACTTCCTCTTCCACTGCCAAATGCACCCACTGGCTGTAGACACGTGCCCCTTTTCTTATCCTTTGTCCTGCCTTGACCATCTCAATCCCTTGACTTCTTCAAAGCTTCCTCTCCAGACTTTTCAGGGAACCCCATCATCACTCTGGCCACCACCTCTCTCCTTGCCCTGACATCTTTTACCTTTTTTTTTTTTTGGTACCCGGGATCGAACTCAGGTCCCTGCGCTTGCGAGGCAGGCAGTGGAACCACTGAGCTAAATCCCCAGCCCACCCTAACATCTTTTGCCTATGGGCATCTTTGGTTCCTCACTCATCCCCAAAAATGGTCCTCCCCACAATGCCATGCCAAGTCTACTACTAGGTCTTCCTTCACCCCATTCCTGTCCCCCAGGAACCTCTCAGCCACCACCATAGATTCCCATATCCCACATGAAAGATACCTCAATGGATCTGTATCTGCAGCTCACTTCCTCCACACCTTTCCTTACTGCTTTCCATATCTTATCCCACCCACCATGAGTCATTTTATTTCTCACCTTTCATATAAAGGATACACACACTTTAATTCTGAGCCACCCCTGGCTTTGTGTTTGGGCCCTCAGCTTTCCCCTTACAGAGACTGATGAGGTGGTCTAATTCAATAAATATCAACAAGCACCTACTAAATCCAGGCAGTGTTTAAAACAGAAAACAAAAAATGAAATTATATGATCAACTGTTGTAAGGTTGGTAAGTGCAAGACAAAATATACAGCACTGAACAGGAATGAGGCTAAGGTTGCATTGAACAAGAGGATCAGAGAAAGGGAGGAGGGTGATCACCCCAGCAGACAGAGCTGGCACAAAGGTCAGAAGTAGGAGAACTGGTGAAAACAGGGAAGAGGCAGCAGAGATAGGCAGGTCACCATCATCCTCTTAGGTAACAAATACATTTTGGCAGTGTTCTCAAGACAGGGGACAACCAGTGCTGTCCATCCAAATACAGAAGCAACCTCCAGTAATTCTGAGTTTTTAAAGAACCTTGGGCAGCTTCTTTCTAAGAACAGATGGGGAAGGAAGGGTTTGGCAAACAGGAAGCAGACTATAACAGTAAGGGACTAAAACATGACCCAGGCCTCTGATCAGCCCAGCCTGTTACCTCTCCGACTCAAGTTCATTTTCCCCAATGCAAACTTGACCATGTCACCCACCATACCATATTCATGGCAAGGACTTTTTTGGGACACAAAACTGGGAATTGAACCCAAGGCTTCCTGATGCTAAGCAAGCACTCTGTAGCACTGAGCTACATCTCAGCCTTTTTAAAATTTTTGTTGTTGTTTGGGACACAGTCTCACTATACAGTTCAGGCTGGTCTTGAACCAGCAGTGATCCTCCTGCCTCAGCATCCTGAGTGCAGAGATTACACATGTGTACCACCACACCAACCCTCAAATTTTATTTTGATAGGGGTTCTCTATGTTGCCCATCCACCAGGCTCAGCCTCCCAAGTAGCTGGGATACAGGAGTGTGCCTTCCTACCCATGTGCAAGAACTTTTAATGTCTCCCAACTACCTCTCTGAGAATCACGTCTCTGCATGTCAGGCACTGTGGCCTATTACTTCCTCCACAGCACCCTGTACTCCAAACCTATAGGATCCTCTGCTGCTGCCATTGTAGACCTCTAAGATCCTTTTATAGTATCTTTTATTTCCCATTAACCACTTCGGATTTCATTTCTCTGCTCCTGAAATGTCATTTGTTCATCTTTGAAGGCTAAGCCCAAGTGCTACTTCCTCAGGAAGCCTTCCCTGGCTGCCCCCAACACTCACATTGCTCAAACCCCTACTGAAACTGAGGCTATTGAATATGTAATGCCACTTATAGAGTAAGAATACAAAAGTTAAAAATGTTTTAAATGGTTTGTCTGAAGCATGCATTAAAACAATTGGCTGTGCTTTCACTTCTGAAATAATCACTTTACAAAACATAAAGCAGTAGATATTGTTCTGAGCATCCTGGGCACTTACTGATGATTCTCACTTAAACCAAACTCTCCTGTGCACTTCGGAATTGAATGCAAGCCAGGGCTCATCACCATTCCTTTCCACACACTAGCTCATACCACATAGGGACCAAACTGCTCTGTAGAAGACATTTCAGTGAGTTATTGGACAGAGGAAAAAAAAAATAATAGGAAACCAACCAGATTAGACCTTGTCATTCATAAGTAAGCAAATAAATAAATGGGAGGAAGTCAGCTAATCAACAAATACTACACAGTACCTTTAAGCTAAATGCCACATAAAGTGTTGAATCAACAGTTTCTGACCTTCAATAAAAGACCTATTTTTATAAGGACTAGCACTTTTCTTTGTTTGTTGGTTTTGTTTTGTTTGAGACGGGGTCTCACTGTGTAGACCAGGCTGGCCTTGAACTAGCAGTGATCTTCTTGCCTCAGACTCTCCATTGCTGGGTTTACAAGTGTGCTGTCACCCAGCTGAAAATAAAACATTTAAATAGAGATGATATTGTTACTTAGTTATCACAAAAGGGAGAAGAGAACACATCAAGCACAGTGTTGGGTCTTTTAGGTGTACCATTCACAACAATTTTCCCAGCAAACCTATGATCTTTAGATGTAGATTTTATCTCTTTCATTTTACCTTGAGAAAACCATGGTCTGGAGAATACAAGTACCTTGTCCATGGTAATGCAGTGACTGACAAAACAGAACTCAAATTCAGATCTGTTTCATAAGAAACTATATATTATATGAGCCTGTGATTCTACTCATACAAAGTTCAAAAT